AATTTTAGTGAAATTTAAGGAAACTAGTTAATTTTAAGGGAGTTAGTTAATTTTAGGGAATTAGTTAATTTTAAGGGAATTTTAGGGAATTAGTTAATTTTAAGGAAATTTTAGTGACGGATACGTCCATGACTACCACAAAAATAAAAAAAAAATTAACAAGAACTTAGTCACGGCTCGTGTCTGTGACTAATTAAAAAAAAATTAAATTAAAAGTAGTCACGGATATGGTCCGTGAGTAACGTGCCGGAGGCTTATTCCGGTCAAGATGTAGTCACGGATCGACGTCCGTGACTAAACCGTGACTACACCTAGTCACGGCCAATGGTCCGTGACTACATTCTAGTCACGCAGAACTAGTCACTGAACTAGTCACGGACGCAGTCCGTGACTAAAAGTGTTAGTCACGGACTTTTTACACTACGGTCCGTGACTAAGTCCGTGACTACAGGCGAATTTTTTTGTAGTGATTCTACTTTGATTAGATTTTATTTATTGATATATTATAAATTAAATTTGAAAAAAATATTTTTAAACTCTTCTACTTTGTCTATTTTTTTAACTTTTTTTTAAATAAGGAATGAAATCCTTAGTTAAATTTGAAGTCCGTGACCACTCAAATTCTCCCTCTCCCCCCAATATATTCATTTGTATGTCAACATTTTTTATCAACCAATTTTAAAGTTAAATCCTTCTTCTTGATAGTTAATTCAATTTTTAGTAATTAAATTATATATTCAGAAATTACATTAAAATGTCTTAAAAGTTGCAAAATTCAAATTAGAATATAATTAAAAATTGACATCCGAATTAATTAAGTGGACAAAATGAAACAGTTTGACCAAGGAAACTCAATTTCGCACATCAATTTGGGACGGAGGTAATAAAAATTAAAAAACTTAGAAAATATTTTTAACATTTTACAATAAATGTAGTTTTTTGAATTTATTTTTAAACAAAGTATGTTACCTATGAAAATGTTTACTATAGAAAGAAAATAAAATCTTTACTATAGAACGAGAGCTAAAAAATATCAAATAACATGTTTGATTATAAAACATTCCTCACTAAATCTTACTCCCCCGTTTCACAATATTTGACATAGTTTGACATTTCAACATTTAAGGGAGCAAATTTTTTAGACTTGAGTTCCCATAAATACCCTTGGGTATTTTCTAAGCGCACCTGCGGTAAAAAAAAAACAGAAGCACCGAGCACTCTTTAATGAAACACAATCTGCTATGTACTGTAGAACTATCAGTTCATCTACAGTACATGGAGCTTAAAGTTCACATTAGTTTTCGGCTTTCCCTCTTAAAAATTCTAAACATTACAAATTCCCTCCAAATTTATGCATAACACAAACTACAACTATATAAAGACAAGTCCTCATTACAAATAAAACACTAAACAACAATAATGGAAGCAGCTGAGCTCCCCACAACTTTTGAAGACCCTCCAGATGATCAACCCGTCACAACTTTTGAGAAGAAATTTCACTTATGGTCCTTCGAGTTTTGCACCAATTCCATAATTAGTCCTCGTCTTTCATTTTATCCATTTTTTGTACCTGACTATTGTTTTCTTGACCATATATAGTCCTTTTCCGATAATAAAAATGCTCAGAAATGGACCACAAATGGTCAAGAAAACAATAGTAAGGTACCAAAAATGGATAAAGTGAAAGATGATCTGAGTACTAAATATGGAAATGACACAAAACTCGGAGAACCTAAAGTGGAATTAATTCCAACTTTTGAAGACCCTCCAGCTTTTGAAGTCATCCCCTTCTCACCTGCACATTTGTTTCAAACAGAAAATGAGGGACAAGGACAAAACGCGCCACAAGCAAAGCCTAGAATACAAGAACAAACTAAATATCGCATTGTACAGAAGTTGTTAAGCATGGAAAGTGGAGGGAAACATCAGAGGGGCATTATTATTCAAATATCCAAGGAGTTCAATGTGAGTAGAGAAACTATTCCCATGATCGGGAAGAAAGCAAAACAACAAATACATGATGGTGTTGTCATAAACTTGCAAAGCAGCTTGACAGGTAATGTAGGCACCAAAAGGATTTCCTTAGACATTCAGAAAATGAAAGAAATACCATTGCATAAAAGGAAAAAATATGAGAGCTTTGAGCTATCAAATGCAAGTTTCCTCCTCTATAGTGTGCAGATGGTTTAAAAGAAAGGAAATCAAGTGGCATTCCAGTGCTATCACGCCACTGCTTACAGAAGTTGGGAAGTTGAAAAGGTTACAGTACTGTTTGAGTCATATAGTTCCACATTCCCTACCAACAACCCCTACTTTTCATGACTTTTTTTATCACATACATACTGATGAAAAGTAGTTTTACCTGTCAAAAGAAACAACCACATTCTACACTGTTCCGACAGAAGAGGATCCATACAGAACAACACAATAAAAAATTTATTCCAAAGACAATGTTTCTAGCAGCTCTTGGTAGGCCGAGAATAAAAGACAATGGAGAGGTTCTATGGGATGGGAAAGTGGGCATATTTCTAATGACACATGAAGAACCAGCCAAAAGGTCTAGCAAAAACAGACCTGCTGGAACTGTTGAAACAAAACCAATACTCAGTGTGACTAGAAATGTGATCAAAGACATGATTCTAAACAAAGTTATCCCAGCAATCAAAGAGAAGTGGCCAGAAAGTTCCAACAGACATGTTATAATACAACAAGACAATGCCAAACCTCACATAGGGGTTAATGACCCTGACTTTGTGGAGATTGGGAAACAGGATGGTTGGAACATAGAACTGAAATGTCAACCTCCAAATAGTCCAGACTTGAATGTTCTAGACTTGGGGTTCTTCAGAGCAATTGATTCAATCAAAGAACAAAAGGGGCCACAAAATATTTCAGGTTTAATTGAAGCTGTAACAACTTCATTCAATGAACTCACCCCAAGCACATTGAACAAAGTATTTCTAAGCTTTCAATGTGTAATGGAAGCAATACTGCAGAACATGGGGGGCACACATTTCAAATTGAGCCATATAGGCAAAGACAAATTGGCCAAGCAGGGCAATTACCAAGAAATGTCCAGATTACTGCTGAAGTGTATGAAACATCAATGGCATACTATAATGGACAAGTGGCAACAACCAATGCAGGTCAAAAGTCAGGACAATTCATGAATGAAGAATAGACATGTTCTTCAAATATGAACTGTTATAACAGATTTAATGCGTTTTTGATGCGTTTTGTATGTACATTGGTATGGAAGTACAAGTATTTAAGTACTTCCATGTAGTAGTTGTACAAATTTTTGTAAGCCCAAGTGCAAACTAATAATGCCTTGTACTAATTTTGCAATGCATAAATTAAATACGATTATGTAAATTGTTATTTTGATTCCAGTAAACAGGTAATAACAAACTGAGCCTCCTACAATTTTGTAAATTGGGTGGCATCAGTGCTAAACTAAATCATAACAAATTCAGTCAACATGAACTCAAGCCCCATAACATCATCAGTTTCCCAACACAGAACAAAAACCTAACAACAATCACGCAATTCACATGAGTATAGTGAAATTACAGAGAAGCAGGGAGTACAAGCTACTTCCCTAGCAAGTCGCGTGGAGGCTCCTCCTCCCATTCATCCTCTTCCTGTGAACATATTACATTGCCACCCTCATCCTCCGCTGCCGAAGACACCTCCTCTCCATCTTCCAAGCCATCCAACCCTTTGAATGTGTCAGACACAAGGTTGTCCCCATATTTCTTTCGTATAGCCCAAGTTGGATGTGTCTCATCCTCATTAGAATCCCCGAAATGAACCCTCCATGGAGGAAACCAGGTCACCGGCTCGACATGCAATGGATCTATGGGCCCAACGTTTTCCAATTTAAGATCTATGAGTGGTGTGACCTTCCCTGTATCCAGAACATTATCGGACTGCATGTCTAACACTGGATGAGGGGTTTTTACTTCCGAAGAAGAAACTGGTTCAGCCATTACTTGGTATACAAGGGGGTTGCGTTGGAAGAGAAGGGGTAGATGGGTAACATCGAACAGGTGTTCAATGGCAAGGGGGTTGCGTTGGAAGAGAAGGGGTAGATGGGTAGCAGCGTAAAGAGAGACAAAGTAAATAATCGAGAAGATGAAATGGGGCGGTTGATTGGGAAGAGGAAGGGGAAAGACGTAAATGGGCGGTGCATTGCGAAGGGGTTATGAACGAATTAAATGGGAAGGGTAGGAGTGTAACTTCAACCCCTAAAAGTGGCTAAAATTAGAAGTGTATCATTGATTGTGAAACACCCAAAAAAGGAAAGTGTGTCTAAGATTGTGAAACGGAGGGAGTATTAATATTTTATCATAGTGAAGAACAAATATTTTTAATTTCTTAAAAATATACATATATATTTTATTAATATAAAATTCTATATGATAGTTGACCGGGTTTTCTAGTGTTGACCGGGTTGACCCATGACCTGATCATTCGCCCGGGTCGCTACCCGGGCCTTTTTTTACAACATAGACAAATACAACTACAAATAGAAGCATATTTAACTTATTTGGGCATAATAAAGCTATAAAACTTCCCTAATTAAGTAAATGTGTACTATTTTAGGGAAAAATTGTGATCATCATATTTGTGTACTCTCATTTAATCATATTTCAGTAATTTTTAGGACAATAGCCAAAAATACTCCTATGCCACAAAATTTTCAGGTTTGACTTATATCGAAGTTCAAGAAAGTGAAAGTAAAATGAAAATGTATGATTGCGGTGGATGAGTAAAAGCGTAAATAAATGTTGACCGCGCCAAACCTTTCAAGAAAAATGAGAATAATTTTTGGTAACTTTTCAAATAATAGGTGAGATGAATTTTATGAAAGAGTAATATTTGCTTTATACTCCGTAAATGCTAAGTGCATTGTAGAGTGATTTCGAGGTAGGTAGCTGGCAGCTTCAAACACCAAACTAGCTAGCTTCAATATCTGAACATACTCCATATCAATATATCATTCCATCTTTTCCCGGTTATATCGTCTGCCTATATATATACCCATCTACTTATTAGTCTTCGCAAAAGACTCAAACGTTGACCACACTATACTATAATGATGGTGAAGATGATGAGATGCAGAAGCGTAGACGACTCTCATCAGAATGTTGTTAAGGATGAAGTCGACAAGTCTTTCAGAATCAAGCATGAAGACAGCATCAACTTCTTCTCCAGACTCCTTTCCCGCCAACAAACAGCTAAAAACAACAACACCCAGCATTCTTTCAGAGTCTACTATGCCGAGGATGTTTCTGTTCCCTTTGTCTGGGAATCTCAGCCCGGAACTCCCATACACAGATTCGCCGACGCCGGTGGGGACGCCGCCCTCCGCCCTCCTCTCACTCCTCCCCCGTCTTACTTCATCAACGGCAAAAACCCACCCAGGAAGAAGAGGAATCTGCTCAGGGCTCTGCTCGTTAAGGTCAGTCTCAAGAGTACTAGATCTAGAGCCAAATCATCACCGCCCGCCGCTGCCTCCGTCACGCCGTCGTTGCCGTCTCCTTCGTTTTCTCTCTCGCCGTCTTTCTCTTCTTGTTCTTCATCTTCCCACTCGTCGTCGTCGTCCTCGGCTTTCGCTACTCCTCTTTGGAGATTCCACGGCGGCCGGAGAAGGAGGCTGGCTTCTTCGGGCTCCTCCGGCTCCTCTTTGGAAAAGGGCATCATTGAAGAGGTTTCCGGCGGTGAGGAATCATCGACGCCGCCGGCGTGTTGCGGGTTGACCCACCGGAATAGGAGGACCCTTAGCATGCATTAAGTGGTCGATAACGTAACATCTCCATCCATTATTGTAAGTCACAACATTAATTAATATACATTGGCTTTCCACCCGACCAAGCTAAGCTATTAAAAACTTTGGTAATTTTTCGCATTGTATGAATCAATAATGTAAATGTGCTTGTTTGTGTTTCAATGCTTAGTTTAGTTACGTTATTACATCTCCATAATTGTGCATTTGTTGCATTGAACTACCGATCGACAAATTAATGTTAGAGAACAATATTGTATGGAATATGAAGATAATTAAGAGGAATTTACCAGAAAGAGAGACTTTTTTGTCTGACAATCCAAAAAACGGGAGTTGCAATTAGGTTACCAAATTACGGGAGTCGGATTCGCCCGTTCCGACAGGAGCTCGAAAAATATAAATAAACACCATGTCGGAATTGGGTAATCCGATAAGAGGGTTTCTAATTAATTTGTATTGTTTTCAATTGCGTACATGTTTGATTTGTAAATTGGAGTGTATACAATTTTTTTTTACACACACACAATAGAGTACGGGAATTGTGTTCTCCATCAAATATTCCAATTTTTGTGTTGATTAGTTATTAGAATACAAATTTCGAAATTAGGAATTTATAATTTGACATAAAAGGGTGATTGACCAAATCACGGGAAAAACTAACTAGGGGTGCCAATTTACGGGAGTCGGATTCGCCCGATACGGGAGTCGGATTCACCCGATAATTAAATGATGAAAATAGTTATAATATACTAGTATATGACGAGAATAAGCATAAAAGATTGCAACATTAATTATTGTTTTCAGATTTTACCCAATAAAAAATCAAATACGGAGTATAACTTACGTGTCTTACAACATGTAATTTTAATTGAATGAGCATGTACTATGGAACATGCATGCAGAGTAAATAGGTACATTATATATTAATACAAATGAATTAATTTCACATGGATTAACAAGCTCATTATATTCGTAAACATGTCATTTGTAAAAATTATAAGCTTTTTTACATATGCATGCTTTGATTTTACCCTCTAAAAATAGGATATTTCTTATTAGACTCTTCCAATTTTTTGTTTTGTTTTGCATATATGAATATGTAATACTCCGATCCATTAGAAATCCCATATAAGTTCCTTTAACTATTTTGTTTTGTTTAACAAAGTAAAACTACTCATTCAAATTTTCCGTATGAGAAAATTGCCAAATTAAAAATGTAAAAATAAGATTAGATGTTTAAATTCTCCAATTAAATAAGAGTAAAACAAGGTAGCTAGTATGAGTAAAGCATTGAGTGGACAAGAATGCCCCTTTAGTGTACATGAAGGACAATCATTGCCAGGCAGCCGCCGCCAATCACTACGGTGGCTAATTTTTCTAAGTGAGATTGGTAACCATAGAAATCATGACAACCTTGATTAAACGCTAAGAGGATTGGTAACCCTTGAACTCGAACCCTAAAACCTAAGAGGGTAAAATGCAACGGAGTAATTAATTAGAACTATTTTTAGAATTTAAGACACATCTAATACTAAGTATAGAAATTGCAGAGCAAAAACGTTTTGAAATTCCAAAATAGAAGTATCATGTTTTTTATTTCATGAATAGCAGTAATCTGCCAAGTTTGAAAAAAAAGAATGTCATGTTTAAAGTCTAGTAATGCCAAACCTGACAGAAATTTACTCCTATTCAAGGAATAAAAAATATGATATTCCCATTTTGAAATTTAAAAACATTTTTACTCCTATTTAAGGAATTCTCTCTACTAAGTACTATTCATACGCATTTACAATGCTATACTCTTAATATAGGTCTCAATTCTTCTATAACAACAACATTATCTCAATGCCCCAAAGACTCCCACCTATATTGGAGTAAGGGCGGGTCGAATGTACGAAGCCTTATTCTGTACAACTCTAGAGATTTGTTTCTACATATGTCTCAATTATTCTCACCAAATAAAATTTAACTATTTTTTGAATGAGTTGAGAAAAATGAAATCATTCCCAAAGACAAGATTTAGCAACAGTAATAACTCATTTAAAACAAATACGGAGTAATATTTGTAGGGTCTAAAACAACTATATTTTGCGAGACCGCACACACATTAGCCTATTATTCTATACTCGTATATTAGATCGATATTCAAGGAAATTATTTATTACGGAATATGACATTTTTTGTTTAAATATAAAGACAATAATTTTGTTATGCTCAAATAAATTGGCCTGGTATTATTGATATAAAAAATGAAAAAATTTAAAAGCTTTTAGATTGGGATCATCATGGTAATATTATTGGGTGGTGTGCAACTGTGCACCATGGTGGGTAAAACGCATGGTGTTCAGTGTTCTGGTAACATTTAATTACTATTATAAAATTTATGCATGTTAATACTCCGTAATTTTTAAATATTTGTGATATAAATGAAGTGAACAGATCGATAAGTATATGGGACCAACAGAGTGACTAGTCATTGTAATGTTCTGTGATTTTTGTGAATAAAATGGAATTTCATAATAGTTTCAAATTTGCATACATTGGATTATTGAAGTACCCAAGTGTATACTCCCTTTTTCTCAACTGCCACTAATTATAACCAAAACGATAGAATTATATTCATAAATTTTATTTTAATAATATAATAGCTAGTATAGTCTGTATAGATAATCCCATACATATGTATGTCAATGGATGTCTTTTCAAATCTTTATTAAGGAATTCCCAAATAGGACTTATTTAGTCTTATTAAAAGAATAAGATGATTAAAACTTCTCAAATTATTATGAGTGAATGAGACATATTTTGGGAATGAAACATAGATACTCCTATTTAATTATGAGCTTAATCTTTGTTTTAGTCCTATTTAGAAAATTTTCTGCCAGTTTATTATAAAAATGAATAAATTGATCAAAATAGGAGTAAAAGATGGTTCAAAACAGGTTGGAATATGTTTTATTCTCAAAAGATGTCTTATTTAGTAATTAATACTAAAAGAATTAAATAATAATAAAATTCCAAAGTAAGAGTGAATAGGGCCTATTCCATAAAAACTGCTATTTGAGTTGTGTAAATCTGCTGTGGAATTCATTACTCAGAAGCATAGATGCATGGCATTTCTGAAACCCGATAAAAAGTACTATCCTCCGTATCACATTAATTGCAACATTGGAATATATACGTTATTCATTTACTTTACTTTGAGTGCATTTTATTTATTAATGTATGTGAATTAGTTTTTTTTGAAAAATATTGTTAAACTCGTCTCATTGCTAAGTTTTATAATCTGTTTTTTATTTTATTTTTACTAATACATAATTAAATATAATGACGGTCAAAGTTGTGTGTTGACAAACGTGAAATGTTGACTGTTGCAACTAAAAAGAGACGGAGGAAGTATTGGCTAAATAAAATCTATAAGCAAAGGATTAATACGAAGTATAATACAACCTCCGTCCCGAAAAGGATCACCATATTGATTTTTTTGTCAATGATTACAAACTTTGGACAATGATTTGTATTATTATATTTGTATATAATTATATATTTTATACTTTCGGAAAATAATATGAACAAGAAACATTTTGATATAATTTCAATTCATATTTTAAATAATTTCGTATTAAAAAATATCAATGGTCAAACTTGATTGCACAAGAAATATAAATTGAAGTTCTCAAATACGAAAACGTTTGTAACGAAATCTATATGGTGAGACGAGTGAGTGATGTGCAATCTATATTAGGAAAATGATACAAGTACAAATAAATTTGCAAAAAAACTTACCAACAAGTGTGACTATTTTAATCACATTATATTTGATCCAAAATTAAAGTAAAGTGATGTGTTAATTAAACAATACGATTCTGCCATATACTATGTACTATGTATCTCATTTATAAGGTTGTGTAAGTGTGTATGTACCTAAAAATCTAGAGTAACTCTCTATATTGATTGCAAGAAATTGAAAATAAAGGTAGGCGACTGTAATCAATCTAGCCAAATATCAGTTAATTGTTGTTAGCAGGAAATGTCATTCTCCCAGTTCTAGAAACATACAGACATTAACCATTCTCCATTATTTGGCACTTAATATATACCAGTACCGCATAACCATCACTTTTAGTCAAAAAAAGAAACAAATTTAAAACAGAAAGATTTATTGAAAAATTAATTAAGTTGTATGCATGCATGAGAATTAAGTAGCGTGAACTGTTCCATGAAAACCTTGATGGAATCATCAATCATTTATTACTCAGATCAAACAAAAGAATAAGCTAGATATATAGCATTTGCTCTAGCAGTGTAGCTAGCTTGCTAATTAGCTAGCAAGAAGTTCTTGAGGGGTAGAATATAATTGAAGCAAAATGCAGGAATGAAGATGGAACCTAGCTAGCTAGCTACCTGGCGCATAAGCATCGAATCTCTGAGATTTAGGTGAGTAATAAATGGAATGAATTAGTTGGTTATGGGTTTCTGTCAAAAGCATTTAAAGTGGATCCTTCATCAATATATATACTGTATAATTCATGCCATGATCATATATATATATATGGCTGCGCTGTCTTCCTCTTATCCACTCGTCAACCTTAGCTTAGGTCCATCCCAATGCCCTGACTGGTCGACCGACCATAGCTTGTCTGCTTCTTCAATGTACGTACGGGCTGTCATTTATTAGTCCAGTTTTTATATTACTAAACACCACACTCCGTATCAGTTAGTAGCATGCAGCAGTGGCCTACCATCCATGAGAATTGAAGGAATTGAAATGAGCGAAGCTTCAATGTGGTCTGCACGCATGTTACTTTAGGACTAGCTGCTGGTTAAACTGACCATTTACAACTTCCACGTAGGGGGGAAGGAAACAATGGCGGAGCCAGAAATATTATACTATGAGACCTGAGCGTGAAAAATGCTAGAGAAATTCCTTAAATATGACTAAAACAGTGATAAAGTTCATAGATAAGACTGAATAAGTCATATTTGGTCAATAGAATATACTCCATCCGTTCTTTTTTAGTTGTAACGGTCAACATTTCACATTTGAAAAAGCACGTCTTTGACCGTAATTATATCTTAATTCTATTAGTAAAAAAATATTCAAAATCAGATTTTGAAAGCTTGTAATGAGATGAATTGAACAATATTTTTTTAAAAAATAATTTTCATAAAATAATAGCGTAAAATGTAGTCAAAGTAGAGCATGTGAAAGTGTAAAATTCAACATGTTGTGATTAAAACGGAACGGAGGATGGTACTTTGTAAGGTGGATACATAAGAAAGAGGT